ACAGATCTCTTTAAGTAGGATTAATCCACTTATACTTCTATATTACAACACTTCAACCTATAATATCCCAGAAAAGTGATCTGCCTTCACCCTTGAAGGCCAACTGAATAATATATATGTGACTTTTCTATGAACAAAATACATCAAATCAAAATGCAAAACCAAAATAATATAAAATATAAAATTATAAAAATTATCTGCAAAAAAATTATCTGCAAAAATTATGTCCAAAGTCCCACCGTGTCCAAAAATAAAATCAAATCAAAAAGTCCCAAAAGGAATCCCCAAAAAAATAATCCTCACAAGTGTAAACACAAAAAACTTAAACTTTTTCTTCTTCTTTCATCACCAAAACCTTCTTAATACCCGCAAATTCTGATATTCATATACCTCAAAAAAAGAAAAAAACTCGACATAGTGTCATACCTTAAATAATGAAAACACACGTGCCACTCGCTGTGCAGCATGCAAGATATTAACTAAACGTGTAAACTCAAACCAAGTGTCAAAACACATAAAATAAGTGAAATGACAGTATGAGTGAAAGCACATACAATATGTGAAAAACCACTCCACAAATAACACTCTAATATATAAAAGGGTGATAAATGAAAACCAAATCCCAACTCTCCAACTCTAATATGGATGGGTAATTACCCTATAGCAGAAACAGCAAGGCAGATTAACCACTCTGGGTTACACTCTCCTCTCCTCGATTTTCTCCCAGGACTAGGGTCACTTCCTCCACTTTCCTCCAGAGAACCAGTCAGTGAAACAGATAAGTGAAGTGGCAATATGAGTGAAAGCACATTCACCCTATAGTAGAAACAGCAGGGCAGACTAACCACTCTGGGCCACACTCTCCTCTCCTCGACTTTCTCCAAAGACTAGGGTCACTTCCTCCACCTTCCTCCAAAAACCAGTCACAGTGTAAGAGATAATCTTCTTTATTGATAACTCACATAAAATTCGTGGTAACAGCTCCTCCTCACAAGCAGTGTGCACATGGACAGGTTCAGGGAAACATAAACCGCATGTTCCCACTTCCAAAATGGCCGCGATCGCACTTCCGGTCAAAACGTCGATGCGTATGACGTCACGTGTCCCTGACGCGTTTCGTCACTTCCTTTGACTTTTTCAGAAACCCTTCTGAAAAAGTCAAAGGAAGTGACGAAACGCGTCAGAGACACGTGACGTCATACGCATCGACGTTTGACCGGAAGTGCGATCGCGGCCATTTTGGAAGTGGGAACATGCGGTTTATGTTTCCCTGAACCTGTCCATGTGCACACTGCTTGTGAGGAGGAGCTGTTACCACGAATTTTATGTGAGTTATCAATAAAGAAGATTATCTCTTACACTGTGACTGGTTTTTGGAGGAAGGTGGAGGAAGTGACCCTAGTCTTTGGAGAAAGTCGAGGAGAGGAGAGTGTGGCCCAGAGTGGTTAGTCTGCCCTGCTGTTTCTACTATAGGGTGAATGTGCTTTCACTCATATTGCCACTTCACTTATCTGTTTCACTGACTGGTTCTCTGGAGGAAAGTGGAGGAAGTGACCCTAGTCCTGGGAGAAAATCGAGGAGAGGAGAGTGTAACCCAGAGTGGTTAATCTGCCTTGCTGTTTCTGCTATAGGGTAATTACCCATCCATATTAGAGTTGGAGAGTTGGGATTTGGTTTTCATTTATCACCCTTTTATATATTAGAGTGTTATTTGTGGAGTGGTTTTTCACATATTGTATGTGCTTTCACTCATACTGTCATTTCACTTATTTTATGTGTTTTGACACTTGGTTTGAGTTTACACGTTTAGTTAATATCTTGCATGCTGCACAGCGAGTGGCACGTGTGTTTTCATTATTTAAGGTATGACACTATGTCGAGTTTTTTTCTTTTTTTGAGGTATATGAATATCAGAATTTGCGGGTATTAAGAAGGTTTTGGTGATGAAAGAAGAAGAAAAAGTTTAAGTTTTTGTGTTTACACTTGTGAGGATTATTTTTTTGGGGATTCCTTTTGGGACTTTTTGATTTTATTTTATTTTTGGACACGGTGGGACTTTGGACATAATTTTTGCAGATAATTTTTTTGCAGATAATTTTTATAATTTTATATTTTATATTATTTTGGTTTTGCATTTTGATTTGATGTATTTTGTTCATAGAAAAGTCACATATATATTATTCAGGATTAATCCACTGCCGAATGTCCTGTAGGCAGCAAGACGCTGTACATCGGGAAGAATTTGAGAGGAGGGAGGATTTTTTTTACTTTTTTTTAAATCTTTTGTTATATCTTAATGCAGCTGGTGTCCTGCAACCTCTTTACAGCCTGTCCCTGTTCACATACACTACAGTCATAACAGGCTGCATCTGTTTTTTCACAGACATGTTTCCTAACTGTTACCAACTGCAAATGTGTTTTCACAGGCCTGAGATTGTATAATTGTGAGAATACTTACAAGGCCATATAAGACTTTTTAATATGCCAAATGTTAATAAACATTATAAAAGTTATTACTATAAAGCTGATCAATAGTCAAAAATGTGAAACAAATGTTACTTTTTTATGTTTACTTGTATTATTGTATATTTCTTTAAATAATGCATGGCCTTTCTGAAAACTGTGTTCATTTATCTGTGCACAGTAAGCAGACAAAGAAAGAAATACAGATTTAATGGATGACGTTGGGTATTTGCATTAATAAGTTGCCCAGATACTTGGGTCTCCCAGGACCCAAAGAGCCCCACTAATTGTATGCACAACCTTCTCTAGGTGGCTGCTATGCAGTACTAGGGGAAGTTGAACAGGTTTACTTTAAAATGTAACTTGAGAACTCCAAAATGTGGACCAATTGCTAGTCCTAGGTCTAGGTTTCTGGGGTCTAAATAAGTACATGGTCTTGCATTCCTATCCCCTGTATGTATGCATTTTGGAACAGGAGTAGAAACATAATTCAGCAGTTTCTCATCCTGTTTAGCAGAAAATTGTTGGGCACCACAGAGTTTTGGGGGGTACTATATTTCTGGCATCTAAAAGTTGTTAGAAAGGTCCCAAGACAAGTAGGTTTGATATTGCTTAGATGGGCTGAGAAAACAATTTCCTATCCCAACCACTTTTATAGTAGCAGTTGTTATTTGTACTGATTGAGGAAGCGGAGATTCCTCCAATAGAGAAGATGCCAAACTATTGCCCTTTCATTTTCCAGTGGTCTCCAGGACAAATAGAGAGGGTAACTCCTCCAGTAGGGATACATTTCGATAAAAAATCTGAAAGGGGTTCTATTCCTTACCTTTTCTATCTGAAATTTAAAAAAAAAAAAAAAGTGTTGGCCATGCATGAATTTTAAAACTGTCATCATAATTTAGCACAATAAATTATTTGCAAACAATCCTGTATGGACTGGAACAGTGGCATGTTAAAGTGGTAAATGGGGTGGAGCTACATTAAGGGGAGAGCAGGATCATGGCTTGAATTGCTAAGGTTCACACAGATCAAAGGCATTGGCCATTTTTTCAAAGTACTTCATCAGCGATATGAACATTGTGCCACATCACTACTTAAAGGTCCAGATATGCCCTCATTCCAAAAGTCAGAGGGATAATCCAAAGAGTATCCAAAGTGTTTCAGGGGTCCAAAAATGAACCATTCATTAGAGCATGAGATTGAAAACAATGTGAATGGAGTAGAAGTGAACTGGACCTTTTTTTTTTTTTTTTTTTTTTTTTAAACAGTTGCAATTATAAAGTATCGTCAGCAGTATGAACAAGTCAAGGTACACTTAAACCAAATCAAGTAGTCAGCAAAGAGCAAAATATACACTGGATTAATGATTGCATGACTTTTAAGACATTTTCTATACAAACTGTTCTGTGGATAGACTAAGAACAGCCTAGGGAGAAATGGCAACCAAGAACCTGGCTGTACCATAGATTGGAGAATAGCTAAAAGAAGAGGGACAAGGAGAATGAACGGGTAGGGTGATCTGGACCTTCAATGGTATTTCTTCCTGGAAGAAATAGCATAAAAATCAGTTCACTGATATGAATGTTTTAGGAACTTGACTTTATAGGGGCTTTATCTGTCCAGGTAGCCTTACACGGGCTGGACTTCTGGCATTTTAAGAGACTGATAAATTATCTCTGTTCTAGTTGTGGACTTACTTCCCTTAATCTAATTGTACTGTAATACGTTTGTTTTCTGTTCATGGTTTCATGAAAGCTATTATCCGTTGACTGTTTTACTAAAGCGCACAATAAAAACTATAAATAAAAAAGGTCCAGGTCACTTTTTGTCCATTAACATGGTTTTCAGTCTCAAACCCTGATGAAGAGGTGGGGGGGGGCACTTTGGGCTGTGAAAGTGGTTACTCTTTGATATGTCCCCCTGACTTTTATTGAAATACAGTAATATCTGGACCTTTTGGCAGTGGCGTGTTACTTCAATTACATTTTTGTTACATTACACTACAAGCCAAGTAGACCATGGAGATCCAGCAGGGTGTAGAAGCGGGTCTGAGAACCATATTTACATCAACATCAATACTTCAAAGCTAGCAATACCAACAAGACAACCATTTGGGTTCAGTGCTATATTTTTTTTAGTTTCGTCAACTAGCAAATTCTTAAAAGCATCATAAATTAAATGTAAAATAACTGAAAATCAAAGGGGAAAATTCATAAGACTTGTGCAAGCTGGAATGTGGGCAGTTTAGCTTTTTTTTTTTTTTTTTTACAGTGCTGCAAGTTTGAAAATGACTTACCTCATAGTATAATATATACAGGTATTCAATACACGTACAAATAAACTTAGAAAACTACATTTTGCAGAACATCTTTCCCACCGACCAACTTTCTGCTGGCCCAAGTTTTATAAATTCCCCTGAGAAGCATTTCTTAGCAGAAAGAGGATCAACACATCACACTGAGGAAAAATTCTATCTAACAAAATGTAGGATAGCGACTACAGAGCTTGAAAACACTACAGCAGCTTCTAAGACTTACTTTGTGTGTTTTTTAGCTGTGTTGGTCCAAGGGTAGCTGTGCAAAAAAGAAGGCTGGTTTTGTTTTTTTTATTTTATATTTTTTTTTGTATAAGAAATGGTCATTAAAGTCAACATAAAATGAGAGACAAACCCTAGTTTCACAAATGTCGATCCCAATGGTGAAAACACATTAACAAGCAACAGTCACACTACATAGTCATGTCATGTTATTATTTGGACAGGTGAAAAAACAACAATATAACACCCCAAAATACATAATTTTGCTTTAGATTAATTTCATTCTAACACATCATTCAAAGAAATATTATTCACTAAACCCTGGTGCCCAATCTGCAGCCCTTTGTTCCTAGCAGCCAATAGCCAATGTTTTCCTTGCCTAGGAACTTACTCAGAGACACTGCGGACCAGTTCACGCCAGAACGTAGTGCAGGAAACTCGTTCACATTTCCCACATTCCAAATTGCACTGCACTTGGGATCTGCAGCAGGTGTTCGTGTTAAGGACACCCCAAAGCAGGGCCCAAACAGAGTGTGTTTGCCTGAACAGGATCGCATTGTACAGTAGTATCATGCAATCCATTTGCTGTGCGTTTTTTAAAGTAGTGCATGCACTATATTTAATGTGCTCCTGCAAATGAATGGGCTTAACATGCTACTAAACCCACAACAGAAAAATCAGTCCGTATATGCATGCTGGTTCTACTCACAGTGGAACCTCAGGGGTTAATTGTACACACTGTGTAAAAGAGGTTTGATCCGGTTTTCTCTGATCCTCCCCTTAATCTGCTGTCCCCAATCCATCTGCTGATAGAACAGTCTTGGTGGATATTGCTAGAGAGTTTTCTTTGGAAAGCGCATGTGATCAGCACAGGGCTAGTTAGCGCTGCCCAGACCAAGGGTCAGGGGTTATGCAGTCTCATGGGACAATCAAGGGACAATGAAAATGCCTACTACAAGCTTTAGAAAATGTATATTATATAGGGCGCGCTTGTTGGAGTCCAACCTCTGTAGCTGTAAGATAAAGGTGACAGACTGGACACTGATAGAAGTCACAAGACTGCTCTAACTGCTGATGAGAAAAAGGTATTTAGCAGTTTATATTTACCAAAATAATTGCATTTCCATGTTCTGTGTACTGTGGGAGACGAGATATAATGAACGCAGTGTCCTGTTTTTAGTAACATTTTAAATTGCACTGCACCCAGATTGCATGTGAATCACACAGGAATGCACAGCACGTTTTTTTGTGTGATTCATGCTGTGAACCGGACCTGAAGGAAAATATCCATTATACTAAATTGTATTATCTAAATAAATACACAATCATTTATCTCACACGCTTGCTTTTTCTGTGCAATCCATTATTTTATTTCTCTGATCTTTTAAATTGGATCTCGTTTAGAGAAATATTAATTTTAGTGGCAGTCATTTTTTAAAGGGATCCCCTTTGTAAAAGGAACTGTAATGGCAGTGATCTCTAACATTCCTTTGAAAACATGTCCCCAGTGACTGAGTGTCTCCTGCAACATGTCCCCAGTCTCTTAACTATGCCAGTAGCATGTCTGCATTCTTTGACCATCTTCTATAACATGCATAGAACATCTGGCTATCTAGTATTCGTTCTAGCCCCTAACCATTTCTGTAGCATGACATGCACTGAAAGTTATGTGCCGACCTTTGGTAATGTCAGGAGTGTCACTCAAGGCCAGTAGGTTGACCAACACTGCTCTAAACACCTGGTTAAAAATTTTCACACACACGGTTTTTCTGGGTGATAGTGATACACCAACAGCGATGTAATAATTCTTATTGAAATTAGATGGCATTTACTAAACAAATCTTTAGAACACGGAGTAAAAATTGTGATTTTGTTTTTTTCCACAGTAGTGCTACATTTTTGTATAATTTGAGAGAAGAAAGGGGTTAGGACCTAAGATGAAAAAAGGGACAGAACAGAAGGCAACAAAGATTAGCAACATTCCTTTTCCTGCCATGAAAAAAAAACCCTTGCAAAAGCATAGCTGTTAAGTACAGTAAACATTTGGGAAGTAAAAATCTGTATGAATTCCTCCGGGCAATTAAAAAGATGTCCAGCATTTTAAAACAACTCTCAAATACCTATAGTTATGATGACCACTCTGGTCACACCTGGAAACACCTCACCTTTCCCCTACATATATCTTCCCTCCTCACACTACCCCACTACGTCTTCTTCTCTCTACCTCATAACATTTTACTTTTTCTCTATGTTTTACATGAGTTTGAAACCAATTCCTTGCATATTTGATCAACATAGAAACAGGTTTATGCCTTTCCTAATCATGTCCAGTCAACAGAAATTCCCACAGCTGGACTCCAATGAAGTTGTGGAAACATCTCAAGAATGATCACTGGTAACAGGATGCACCAGAGCTCAATTTTGAGTGTCATGGTAAAGGCTGTGAATACTTATGTACATGTAGTTTTTTTTTTTTTTTCGTTTTTTTTATGTTTAATAAATTGCAAAGATTTCAAAACGAACTTCATTCATGTTTTCATTATGGGATATTGTTTGTAATATGTTGAGGAACAAGGCTGTAACATAACAAAATGTGCCAAAAGTTAAGCGCTGTGAATACTTTCTGGATGCACTGTATGTGGGCCTACACCTCTTCTGAGGATTATGCTTCAGTTATAAACTAACCCAGTGAGTAATCGGTACCGATTGTTCACTGTGTTCATTCAGAAAAGGAGGCAGCTAGTAAATATGACATTTACCAGCCCCTATAATCCCCTTGCCTGCAACAGCCAGTGGGAGAGAGGGGAGGAAAAGCCGGCAGCAGTGCAAAGGAAGGGGGCAGCAGGGGGAATTGGATAAAGGACAGGGAGGGTGATTGGTGCAGTGAATGGGGGGGGTGCAATTGCTAAAACTGATCCCCCTTTGTGGCTCTCCCTGCAGCAGCCAAAAACCGATGGGAAGGAGAGGAGATGGAGCCAGCTTTCAGCTGCTACACAAGCATCTTTTCCAGTAATTGTGCCCCGCCGCACTGATCACCCTCCCAGTACACAATCTGAGTCCCCTTGCTGCCTGGGTCCCACTTGTTGAACTGATGGGGCCCAGGGCTCATACAGAAGAGCCGGCATTACCCCCTGATTGTCAGCACTAGTTGCTCCCAGTGAAGCCAAAACATGCCCCACATGAAGTTCATGTACTTTTTCAAGTAGCAAGCTTCAAGCCAAACCACTCTTTGGAGTGAAGGGAACCAATGAATAATGGAAATACTTGCGCTGAGCACTCAAGTGCTTCTGATGAAACTTCGAATTACTCAGGTGTAAATGGAGCTCATGAAAGATCAGCATAACATGCGGGTGTTACCTAGGGTGGTCTCCATACAAATACAGTCTCTGCCTAGGAACCTTAACTCCTCCATACTGTCAGCCAGCCATCAAAGCATTTTGATATCTTCAAAACCCCTCCCAAGAGCCAGCACAGTGCTTGCATCAGGGCTGAGGACTCTTGAGACGAGTGCTGAGGAAGGGTGCTGTGATATTTTCAGAAAGCAATGTATAGAACCCACCAGCCCCTCCCACCAACTACAATATGCCAGCATTGCACAAAGAAGCACAGAGACCCAGTGAGGACTAGGTCTAAAATAATGTATTTAATGAAACAAAACCTGTTGGGGTCTACATACACTCCTGCTAAAATTCAAGCCATCAGTGGCCTTGTTGGCACCACCCAGCTCAACAAAAGTTAATTAAAAAATTTACTTAGTTTGATAGAAACATATCGACTGAATCCTATCAGTCTGGGTATTCAGGCAGCTGGAGGTGCTGCAGCGGATTAAATACCATAAGCTGGCAGTGGAGGTTCTTCCATCCATGCTGTTTAGAGTGGATGGAAGAAACTATTGATTTTTCTCTTGTCCATCTTATGGACTGAACAAGAACAATCTGAACATCTATGACTAGCTTTAAACTGGAGATGTATCAGTGCCCTGATATAACACCATAAATGAGGCAATTGCCTCAAGCATCGATTTAATCCATCCTTTCTGAACCAGGGTTCCATGGAATGCTAAGGTTATCTATCATGTGCCATGAGAAGAAAGGGACTTGATATGTGTGTGAAAGGGGTCTTGATATCTTTGAGGAAAAAAGTACTGCATTTTAAACTTCACTAGTGCTAGAGGAATCTGCAATAAAAGCCCGTTGGTGGTCCGATCGGCAGAGGCACCCAACGTTGTGTGTCCAAAAATAGGTAGGAGTCGTCTACTTTAATGATCAGATTTCTTTATTTCATCAAATAAATACATTTTGGGCCACTTCCCCAGTTAAAGGTGATGACACTGTATGTGGGCAAAAATTCCATAGAGTAGATGAGATATTTAACAAAATGCACAAAAAAAACCCCCATAGAAACAAAGAAATCATAAAAAAATAAAACTACGTTCAATGTAGAAAGGGATGTTATCAGATACAGTACGATAAGGGATGGTTATGTATTTGTTATACACTCCAAGTCTTACCAGAGACCCCTGGCCAGCTTTTTAGGACCAAACCTTTCAGACCAATGGTTGACCACCACATCCTAGACCCTACTGCATTTTTAAGTTAAAGTGGAAGTTCAGGCTTTAATCGTCTATTCTTACATAACTAACTTCTGTCCTAACTACCCTGTAGAAAGAATATGTTTATACTTAACTATTCTCAGAGTGGTCCATTCACGTAATCTCCCCAGTGATCGGTTTCAGGGGAGAAGAGAGAGTGCAGGCAATGGATGGAATGCCTGAGCGATAACATCCACCATAGGTTTACTGTGGGGCATCTATTGTTGGCTGTCCTTCCTCTCCCCTGAAACCAGCCACTGGGAGCCGATCATGTGATCAATCCCAAGTGCCCTGAAAATAGGCAAATACAAGCATCTTCCTTCTACAGGGTGGTTAAAGTATGAGTTAGGAGGGGGGATAAGAGCAGAATTCTGATTAAATAGTTATAGCCTGGTTTCCACTTTAACCTTTCCCAACAGAATTATGGAAGCTGCCAAGGTTGACTC